GAGAGAGAGAGAGAGAAACCGTTGGCAGTGATCTATAGACAATGGCTCGATCCAACTGTGGTAGCGGTCAGCAATTTTTCGTACTGACTGCGCGTACGACAATGAAACGTATGCGAGAGGCTTGCAGTCGCATCGATCGTAATCGACAGTTCGGGACCCCCTTTATAGGATTCTCGAATGAGATGGAATACCTGTCGTCGACGGCGGCTGCTCGGCACCGATCTCTCCGGCAATGGTGTCGCTGGCTTCACGCAAAGTGGCAGATCCCGCGCTGGTGCTCGACACGGATCCTGCGTGAATTGTGAAACATTATCGAGGTTACTGCACTGAGAAGAATGTTTAGAATTGGAATAATTGGAAGAATTGGATTAATTGGAATTCTGTTAGAAAATGGACGAAACAAAATTTTCTGCTTAAATCTGCTAAATTTCTGGTTAAATCTATTATAATTTTAGTTGAGACCAGAATTCTGATTGATGTAATCAGAATCTTTTGGTTTGTCCATTTTCAACCAGACATTTTTCTCAGTGTGAACTTAGAAAAAAATATATGGAAAAAATATATGGAGAAAAGATAACAATAATAATGCATTATGCTTGCATTATGATTGACATGAGTGTTGTCTTTCATCCGACTTGATTATTTCTTTATCACGATATTTTTTACAATAAAATATTATGATAGTCTCCCGACAATTTAGTTTTTTATGGTGAAAAAAATAGAGGAATCAATGGTATAGTACCACCAATGCGAGTGCCATTCGGTGGTGCTGTTACTTGAGTGGGTTGCGTTTTAACAGTGCTACTAGTATTGGATTGAGTCGAATGAGATTGAGCTGCTGTGGAATGAGATACTGGTGTCTCAGCCGGTGTACGATTCATGTGAGATCTCGATCCTAGATCACCGGTCAGAAGGTCCATCAGTAGAGACGGTCTTTGGGTACGCAGTTGGCCTTCGGTCACTGGATGCATATCGACTACGCTTCTCTTAGGTTCCGGTTGCATCTCATCTATTAAAATTACAAAGCACTTGATTGGAAGCATTTCTCATTAATCTAAATTGTGAGGAGGAGTATTTTTATGTTAATTAAGTAATTTTAAATATGCTTTTTTTGCTTGATAAACAAGTAAACAAAAATAAATACAAAAAAAATATAGAGTTACAAAAATTTTTTACTAGATCTTATTATGTGATTATTAACTTTTTTATGTTATTGAAACACTAACCGCATCTTCGATTTTCAATTTCCTCCTTTAGATTCTTTAACTCGTGAATGAGATCCATCAGCAACGTGCCCCTCGATTTTGGCACGGTAGTACTGTTTCCGTTGATCTTCTCGCGTATGATGGTATGCATGTTCCTTTCGTGCTCAGATATTGGAGCTTGTCCAATCTTATAAACAATGAACGGAAGCATTTGAATGTACAAAGCCGTCCGATGTGTCACGATAAATTCTATAAAATTCCATAGATATGTGGAAGCTTCGTTACGCTTGTTCAGGAGACGCATCGCGCGTAGAATTACCCGCCATTCCGTTCTCAGTTCAGTTTCGAAACATATTGTCATTATTTTAAGTGCTGTAATCAAACATTTGTGTATTAAGTGTGCATCATTTGTAAGAATAACATAAATATAATATTATGATAATTTTATACAAAAATTATATATAATAATTTATTTTCTAAAAATCTGCTTGAATTTGTTTACTTCATATAAATCTTACCTAGGAACGCGACTTGATATAATGTTAATGATGTTTTTGTTAAAGCCTTCGGATCTCTCGCAGTGAACGTTATACTACCAGTTCTCGTATCCGTCGGTGGTCTTTGCATCGTCAGTGGTATCGGTTTTGAACCCGGTGGCCAAAGTGCATTCAATACGGTCGTTAGAGCAAAAGAAATGTCTGATTGTTTCAGTTTCGGTACGTCTAAAGATATTAATTCAAGGTAATATGATACGTTTATATACGTTTATAAGATTCTTCTCTCGAATATCGTGATATACTATTTTACCTTTCCTCCCGGTTCCAACGCGTAGAAATAATGGTATCAACAAATTTAATAACGCATTCTCTGTGCGAGTTTGAGTAGCAAACATATTCTGACCACCGAGAACGTTTTCCAAAGAATATCCTTCGCCGAATGATATTACATGTAGAGCAATTAGACGTAATACCGACGAGCAGAAATGCGGGGGCGGAAGTGGAGCAGGTAGTTTGCTCAATAAAGCAGCTGTGGAAGCTGAAGTCAAGTCTTCGGACAAATTGTCTCCAACAATTAAAGCCTAAAAACATTAATAATAAATAAATTTGATTAAATTAAAATACATCTTATAAGAAAACACACGGAAGTCTTCTCCGATTTTGATGAGCGTATAAAACAATATGTATTCTTTATTTTGATTTAGAATATAATGTATTAAAAACTCAAAATTGAAAAGAAACGCTTTCAATTGCCTTTTTGTTAATATAATAATAAAGCAATTAAATCAGAAAAATAATTATGTCTACCTGACAAGTAGTTAACAGAGTCTTCAAATACTGAAAGTGCGCGATATACGGACATCTTAAAAGAGTTTCGTAAACTCCTTTCAAAAGATTGCTAGCAGCAACCCAATCAGTATTTCTTCTAATCGATGGTTTCTTATGTATTTTACTGAAAGTTTTATCCAATCTTCTGAGAATGAGTGTTAATGCTGGTCTCATTTCGTCAGCCGTCCACTCGGTGGAAGGAAGAATATCGTTCATGTATCGTTTGAGACCACGGCAAGCCATAGTAATCGGATCGTACGGAGAGATTTTTAGAAGGCTATGAGCGATATCGGCTAAACGCTAAATAATAAAAATTATTTTTGGTTACAAGTTAAATTCACTGCATAAATAAATAAATTTAAATTTTATTCAACATCTTTGTTCATAAAAATATATATTTAATTAACTATTCTTTTTAGTGACAAATCACTATCAGAAAGAAAAATATAACAAAATATTTTATCAAAAGTGAGAATAAAATATTGCTGTCGGTTTATTCATTATTTAATAAATTTGTTATTTAGAAATAAATTAAATATTAATAATTGTCAATTTACCACATGACATTTGGAATCCAACAACTCAATGGTTTTTCCATCCTGAGATTTTTTATTAAGCTCTACCAAACGAACAGAACAACGAGCCACAAAATCCCCAACCATATTTAATAAAGTATCGCGCGGCCTTCTAAACTCGTTCTTATGGAAATCTTCATCTCGATCATAAAAATGCCGAGCTTTCGAATGTTCCATATATTTCGTATGAGTATCCTCTTCGAAATCGAAACCAGGTGAATACGGACCTTTACCGTAGTTTCTTTGGCTAGACCCTTTATGTTCAGGACTCGACTTTTGTGGACCGTTGTAATATCTGCGAAAATTAACAATACATTGGTTTTATTCAATAAAATTATAGGAAGGAAACAAAAAATTACAAGAAAGAAGCTATGATAAATTCATACTTTGTCAATGCTTCGGAATTGTTCACTAATGTCCTTACTGCAATCGCTAATTGATTTATTATTTCCTTTTCTGTTTTGCCTTCTTTATTGTACGTGGGTAATTGGATTTGTTGAACATAGCATGGTAGTATTGCTTCCAATATTGTCTGTAAAAAAAGGTAATGTATTTTATATACTCGGTAAAGTAAAAATTAGCGATGTAAATTAATGGGGATATCTTACGAGCATCTGTTGGCCTCTGATCGAGTCAGGTGCATAAGCTATCACCATTACACAGAGAGATATACAATCGAGCACGTCGACCATTTCATTTTCGTCATGATAACAAAAGTCTATCGCTTTCAAAGGCTTCTCTTCTTTCACTAATTCTCCTATATTGAGTGGATCCGGCGATGGAGTTTCCAAACTCAGTAATAAATTAAACAAGCACGTAGAGGGAACCTTAACAAAATCACAATTAATATCGCTTTCCAGAAACATTTATATACTTATTCTTTTATTAAAAAAATGAACCTTGTGAGCCTCGCCGTGAACGCTGATCATATCCGTGTCTAATATGGTGGAAACGCTGCCAAACATCTGTAGAATGAACGGCTTACGATTCATGAGATAAAACTGTTTGACGGCGTATTCAACAGTAGTCGTTACGAGTTTGTTTGTTTGATGCGTTGAGTATAATTGTAGCAAAGTCGGCATGATTAACAAATACCCATTCGTCGAGAAGATATTTTTGAAATTGTGCGCCGCGTTTATGTAGGTCGCTACGACATAACGTAGAATGCAGGAATCCTCGCTGTGTAGAATTACGGCGCCATTCAGAACGTTCAGAAAGAGATGTATATCACCGGAATATGCGAAGTTGCCTGCCATGGCTTCAAACATGCGTGCAATCAGTCTGACCCACATAAACTTATGCATCACGTCCAGCCCAAGGAGCTCCTAAAACATAAACAAAAAAACTTTTTAATTTATATAATACAATATATATTATTTTAAACAACTTGATATAAATTAAATTAAAAGGAGAATTTAAAATTACAAATAGAAACAACTAAAATACGTACTCTTCCAATTTCGCCACCTTTGTACAAATCCAAATCTGCTTCCAGTGCTTTTCGTGGAAATGATGGTAGCTTCATGAGCTCTTCGTGAAGAAACACAACCCTTTGCACTACCATATCAACATTCTTCAGGATTGCCCAGGTTAATAGCACTTTCCCTATTTCTACAAATTTGTGCATCAATTCTTGCCGCTGCAACGCATTGAACGCATCCTCCGGCTTCATGTGAACGAGTTCGATTTGCGGGAATTGAGATCTTTTGAAGAAATAATAGTCTCTAACGTACGACGATGGATTGTGTATTTGATCTGGACGAAGTTTCAGTAGCGTTAATAGAATGAAATTTTATCACATAAATCGTTAAATAAATAAAAGCTTACGTGTTTTATAATCTACGAGAAAATATTCGTGATGCTTTGATTCTTCGATACCGAAAAAGTCCAAGGACTCTCGAAGTATCTGGCAAAATTGCGTGTCTTCTTGGACTGGAAACTGCGAGGGAATTTCGCCGGCATCGGGATCCTGTGGGCCGTGAACGATAATCTTTTTTGCAGATGGGACATTCGCTGTAAGCAGAATTGACGCATCGCATTGTTCCTTCCTCAGAATCTGCTTTAGATCTTTAAACATAATGCCGTGTACACTGTGCACCACCTAATATGAAAAAAAATCATCATTCTATGTATTAATGAATAAATAAAAAGCGATTGGAAAAAGACAAATCCTTTACCATCCACAGAATTGACAACGCAGTTCCAATCAACTTTTGGCCCTCCTCATGCGGAGTACGAACGTAGAACATGACATATCCAATGATATAATTGTATAGCGCAAATGCAGCCTGTTGCGGCAATTTGGGCACGAATCTGATAAGATGTCTCAAAATCTTGAACATCAACTCTTGCTTCTCCCTCGTGAGACGCTCCAATACATATCGAAGGAACAAAGCGCTATCTTCCACTAAGCAACTCCAGATTACCTGATATAAAATAAATTAATATTATCAAATAACAAGATGTACGATGATTATGAGATTATAGCTTTCAAATTTATTTTGTTTTTACCTGATATGCCACTTCGTACACTGCGTTTCCATCATCGGAAACTGCTGGATCGTCCAGAAGATTGATGATTTGGACGATCGCTGAACACAATGACGAAGGAAATAATGAGAGGGCTGATTGACCGTGATGCAATTGAGTATTCCTTGGAACAGTCTCAGCTGCGTCTTCATCTCCTACATTACCTTCATTAAAGACAAGGAGAAATATTCCAACAAATGCATGCAAACATTTATAACAAAATGGATTGCTCTATATACCTTCATCATGATCATCTCCAACTGGACTGGGCTCGTAAGCAGCTTGAACGGTAATCGGTATTGTCGTAATAAGAAAATTTTCTCTTTCTTCCCTCTTCTTGTCGTCTTGCGCCTGAAGAGCCTTCGTTATTAGTTCTGTCTGCTGTTTCTTTCGTGTTTTCGTTGCGGTTACTAAAGATCTCTGAAATAATAAAAATTACCATTAATATTATAGATAATCCATCAATCTTAGAAAATATGAAATATTATTTTAAACTCTTTCTCGACGATTATTTACTTACATGATGTTCTTGATTGATAGTGACTTCCTCCACCTTGGTTTTCACCTGGGGCATCCAGGGCGGATCGACCACCGGTAAGGATTCTATTCCGATCTTCGGCGACGGCAGAGTAAATTCTATTCCTGGCGGAGGAACTTTAAAAGTTAAATGAGCTGCCTCTTCCATCCGCGGCCACACCTGGTATCGTAATTTCCACAGAACTTGAAATCGCAAAATGGCGTTGATGCGCACACTGGTACTGTTGTGCTGAAGACCTTTGTGCATTAGATCACTGGCCTGAATTGGCGCTCGCACGGCCGATACTATAAAAAGCGCTGCAGCCGATGCGGCGACTTCTTGATTAGATTCTAATAGGAGCTCCCACGCAACAGGCAGCACTTCCACGAACAAATCTTCCGTCATAACGACTGCGCCTTTAATTAAAGTAGCCAAAGGTGCGTGAAAAGCATCCTTCACTTGAGTTTTTATATATTTCAAGATTATCGGTGGCTCTTTATCTTCTTCAATATCATGCTTCGATATGGTTCTCCTCAGGGTTTCTTTGCCTCTTTCAGAATCTTGTTCTGCGAGATCCTTGGAGGAATCCCTTTGAGTTAATCGACCAGATTGAGAACCATCCAGATTTTTTTCTACTCTGTAGAAGATTTTTATATTAAATTAAGATCTGATATAATTAAAAAAAAATTTTTAGATTATAGACCTTTATAATTGTATATCTGTAATTTATGTACTTCATCAACAAAAATTTTAACAAATTAATAATGTTTTAATAAAATACACAAAATACTTATTTAAAATTTAATAATTTAATTACTTATTTAAGTAAACGTAGTTTATTCTTTTTTTAATATTATATTACTTGTACTTGCGTCCCACGCTGTCTTTCCTTCGAATGGGCGACACTTGTGTGCTAGTCTGATCAGACACTTTACGACTGCGTTTCTTCCTGCCATCATCCTTCTTATCGGTATCAATGTCTAATAAACCTGTACCGTTTAGTATTCCAAATTCCTCTCCATAGATCTTCCTCACTGACTTTATCAACCTGCTGCTAGCGCGCATTTGTCGTCGATGACAGAAAGGATGGCAGAAATTCTGATGGGAGCAATAGAAATTGAAGGAATTGGAAAACTGCACAAGCACCTTCATCCACGGGAAATTTTTATTGGTCTCGTCGGTCTCGTTGCTGTCACTTGGACTTTCCGGTGGCTGATCATCGCTAAGTATGCCTGGCGATTCGTCGCCACTGACTTCGCCACCGACACCGGGTTCGGACGTGTCACTTCTGTCAGAAAGCGAGCTTACTTTTCTCTTGGATTGAATCGAATCTGTGCGTTTTACTGTATCTATAGATAAAATATAGTATTATTACAATACTAATATTATA